AGTGAATATTACAGGGTCTGAAATAATTTTTTTGAAAAAATAGTAAATATTTTAGAAGTGGTGTCAACATTCTTACTCTCATATGTTTGTGGTGTTTTAGTCCTGTTTTAAATCTTAGTGTAAGCCGGGCGATGGTGGCGCACGCCTTTAATCCCAGCACTTGGGAGGCAGAGGCAGGCGGATCTCTGTGAGTTCGAGACCAGCCTGGTCTACAAAAGCTAGTTCCAGGACAGGCTCCAAAACCACAGAGAAACCCTGTCTCGAAAAACCAAAAAAAACTTAATGTAACAATGCTTACTTACTTACAGCAAACTGTCACCTTTCTAATACTTTCCTGTATAATCTTTTTTAAAAAGAAAGGTGTTTTCTGTGTTTAAGAAGCATTCATTTATTTTATATCTGCTTTGGTGATATATCATGTGCAGTTGCTCATAACTGACTTAGGCTCCTAACTGACCGATATCATGTTGAAAACTTAAGTGTTCTTACTTCAGAGGTCTGTGTATTGGTTTGCCACCCTATTATCTGAGGAGTTCGCATTTGCCCTTATTTCTTCACCTGCTTCCTGCCTTTTTGTTTCCTCTTCTCCACTGCACAGGCTGCTTCTAGACTCACTGTGTTCACTTAGTGTTTGGGGAGCAAAGGGGATTATTTGACTAACAGGTCCAACTGATAGTTACTCATGCTTACAAGTGAGTCAGGAACTCAAGGCAGAAGCCTAGATGCAGTAGCTGAACATGGGACCCTGGAGGAATGAGGCTTCCTGGCTTCTTCCTCCTGGCTTCTTCGGTTTCCTTTCTTTTTTCTTTACTTTTTTAAAAATTGAAAATAGATTTCTCTACAATATATTTTGATTATGATTTCCCTTTACTCAACTCTTCTCATATCTTCCCCTCCCATTCAGATCCACAGCCATTTTTCTCTCATTACAAAGTAAAAGCGCAGACATCAAAAAATTCCATTTGCCTTCATATGTGTATACACATTATACATATATGTACACACATTATATATAATATATATAAATATATAAATAATATATAAATCAGTACATCTTCACAGTGGGTTGGACCCTCTTTCATAAATCATTAATTAAGAATATGTCCTGTAGGGGGCTGGAGAGATGGCTCAGAGGTTAAGAGCACTGTCTGCTCTTCCAGAGATCATGAGTTCAATTCCCAGCAACCACATGGTGGCTCACAACCATCTATAATGGGGTCTGGCGCCCTCTTCTGGCCTGCAGACACACATGCAAACAGAATACTGTATACATAATAAATAAAATCTTAAAAAAAAAAAAAAAAGAATATGCCCTGTAATGGAAGTTCCTCTTCTTAAGTAATTCTGGTTTGTGTCACGTTGAAGAAAAATCAGCCAGGACAAGGGCACCCTGGATTATTTAGTGAGACTGTATCTGAAAATAAAATCAAGTAACATGACAAATAACGAATAAATAAGCCCTCATAAGTAGTTTATTTTTTAGCATCACTCTGTTCTAATACTTTGGTCCTCTTCTCTGGAGTTTGGAAGCGTGCATCATGAAGGCACCTAGTTTTTATTTTATTTTTGTCTTTTCTGAAGTTTGACTTTTAACAAAGATTGATGATTTTGTTCAAAGGTATAAAACAGGGAAGTGTTGCATGTGGGTAGCACTGACTCCATTTATTATACACCTTGCTCTTTATTCCCGAAGCAAATCTCAAAAGACACTTGAGGAGTGACATAGAAAGTTGTTCTCCAGCCCCTTCATGAACATTGCACCCCTACACATGTGTGTCTTCTTCTGAATACACATGCACAAAGATGAAAAATTCAAGATTAGATATAGTAAGAAGAAAAATTGTCACACTCTGCGCCCCCTTGTCTGCGCTCTATGCACTAGAACCCAGTTCACGACACAGACGCAGAGACAGACCGACACATCCAGAGACAGACATACACAGAGACAGACCGACACACGGACCTCCAAACACTGGTTCAGAAAGCCCCCATTATTTAACACCATGTAGACTTAAATACACTGCAGTTAATGGCCAACAGGTGATAATCCCATCCTCTGATCCTCTAACTAGGTACAGCTTCTAGTAACTTTAATCAGAAGGTTCTAGCAGAGTAGAACAGCTGAAAGCCAGGACTCATTAATCCCAACATCCATCTGAAGGCCAGAACTTAATTGGTCCCAACAAAAAATGTCTAGGAATTCATTAATATGACTGGTTTTTGTATCTAGAGGTCAGGTTGAATTGTGGAACGTAATGGAGCTGATCCAAGTCTTAGAGAGGAAATAAGAATCAGAACAGCCATCTAAATTAAGAAAGTTGGTAGGAATGATTAAGTGTAAGTTAGTGGGGCAGACGTTAGTTAGAAGCAAGGTCTATAGGATACCAGAAGCTATCCCATCATTGGGGGACTGAAAGAACAAGAGTATACCACTTGTCTTGTTATCCTAAACACATGTGCTCAATGTTTGCATACACGCATAAGCCACAATGCTTTTGTGGAGGCCAGAAGATAACTCTAGGTAATTAATTTTCTTCTAACATGTGGATCCTGTGGCTCAAACTCTTCAGTTCTGTTAAAGGACAGAACTTGTTGGACATCAATGGGAAGGACAGTAACACCATACAACAGAGCTTATATGGGAGGTTTTTAGGGGGGAAGGGAAGGGAAGAGGTGCAGAGACTGGCCTCTGGAGAGGGGTGTGTGTGTGCCCTGCCTTTTTAAGGGGATGTAGCACATGCACACAGGGAGAACTGTGTGTGCTGCATTAGTTAGGTGGGTTTCGTCTGTAGCCTGCTCTCAAACTCACCTCCTTTTCTCAGGAGGTAGGTTGTATCTATAATCATATATTTGTCATGGAAGGGGAGGCTATACTATTGGATTATATATTGGAAATTTTTTAATAGAAGAAGAAGAAGAGTTAGACTCATAATACCCTGTTTTTTTTTTCTATTTCATAAGAGTTCACTTAAGAAAAAGGGGGCATATACTTTAACCAGTCTATCCACCCTGGCAACCTCTCACAAAGAGAGAACTGGGGCCAAGTTGGGCCGGGTATAGAGAGATTGGTGGTCCAGAAAAATGGAAACAACCTAGATATCCCTCACCTGAAGAACTGACAAAAATTGTGGTATATTTTATGCAGTGGAGTATTACTCAGCTGTTAGAAAATGACAATATAAAACTTGCGGGCAGTTATTTTATTAGAAAAAAACTAATTCTGAGAGGATTAACCCTGATGCAGAAAGACAAACATGGTATGTACTCACTAATAAGTGGATATTAATTGTTAAGTAAAGGATAATCACTCTAAAATCCACAGAGGCAAAGAGGCTAACAAGAGGGGCTCTAGAGGGATGCATGAATGAACTAAATTCATTTTCATCGTGGAATGACCATAGGCCTCTAGTAACCTGGGACAGAATGTGACTGGTTGATTATGAACCTCCCATATCGGATAATATATATGAACACTTGACTATTATTGGTGCCTTTCTTTGTGGTGTTTATGGAGTCTTTAGTAGGAGGAATCTTTCTAGAAGAAGTTCCTTGTTGGGGATGTTATTTGAGTATCTATAACCTCACCCTACTTCCTGTTCTTTCTGTCTATTTTCTTGTTGAAATCCATCAACCAGATTCCTTCTCATTCTGTCGTGGATTCAACCGTTATAGACTATATCCTTAAATAGCATGAGATAAATGGATGGATACATGTTTCTTAAATAGCATGAGGTACAGTGGATGGATACATGTTTCTTAAATAGCATCAGGTACAATTGCTTTTCCTTTCTAAGCCATTTGCTTGCCCATTTTTTTTAAATTTTCTTATTTTATCATTTCTTTCTTTTCTTTTTGAAGACAAGTATTCTTGGTATAGCTCTGCTTTTCTGAAAATAGTTCTTGAAACCAGGCTGGCCTTAAACTTAGAGATCTGCCTAATTCTGCCTTCAGTTGTTGATATTAAAAGTTTGGGCCAACACACCCTGGTTTTTCATTTTTATATTTTTTGCCTGATGGACCTATAAAGAAAGTTTTTTTACATGCAAAACATGTGATGTTGTGCTGAGATTTACCAACATCTTGACTTTATACTTTGGCATAGGGTATCTTTTTTCCTCCTTGGATGGCATAAACTGATGTCATTAATATTTCTAAAGGTCCCATGCCAATAGATTGCATGTGTGTGACATTCTTCCAACATTTTGTTATGTTTTGGATTTTTTGTATAAATGTGAGATTTTGCCTGTATGCATAGATATGCTTCTAGTATTCAGAAGGTGTTCTCAGAACCCCTGAACTCGGAATTATGGATATTGTGAGCTATGTAAGCACTGTTCAGTGAACCCATCTCCTCTACAAGATCATCAAATGCTCTTTACTGCTGAGTCATCCCACCTGCCCTTATCTATATTTAAGATGCTCACATTTTCATCTGTGTATCTCTTAAGAGATTAACTATGTATTCCTTTTTAGTAAGATCTAATTAATATTATAGTTTAGATTGTGACACTTCAGGTTTCTGGGAGATGAATACAGAACTAGAATGAATGCATAGCTCTTTATAGGAACTTCAGTACAACCCTCTTTTGTTTCTTTGGTTGGTTAGTGTTTTGGGGGGTAGAGGGAGAGGTCCATTTATCTATCTCTGGATAATCTGAACTCATTTCATGTACCAGGCTGGCCTCCGACTGAATGACATTCACCTGCTTTTCACTCCTGAGTGCTAGATTAAAGGCATGAGACAATACACCCATCTTGCCATTCCGTTTTTGCAGTTAGTAATTGTTCATACAATTTCTCTGACATGTATTTAGTGCTGTTGATTTGTTTGCCTGTCTCTGTATGTCTGTTAATAGTCATTTCTCTTGGGAGGGTAAAACATATTCAAAGGGCCAAGAAAGATCACGTGTGAACCTCTTTTTCAATTTCTTTCTAAAATGTACATTTTCATTGTGATCACCGTCACTCTTTCTGATGTACACATGCATGGGACATTTTAGAGTGCAGTGACCTATGATGATGTGCATGTCAGCTTCACTCAGGACGAGTGGGCTTTACTGGATCATTCTCAGAAGTGTCTCTATAAAGATGTGATGCTGGAGACCTACAAGAACCTCATCGCTGTAGGTAAGAAGTGAATTTCCCTTCAACTTTTAAAATAAGGGAACTACTGATTCTGGGGTTTTGATGCTCTTCTCTAATTTGTATTGATAAAGGGGATGAATGTGGTGAGCAAGTCAGTCATAGTTTTTAGGTTCACTGGATATAGTAACTTGAATTTTGCCTAATTTCCAATAATAAACATTTCTCTGGTATTACATTTCAGGCTACAAAGAGGAAGACTACAATATTAAAGTACATTGTCAAACACCCAGAAGACATGGAAGATAATTTTCATGTGCAAGGTAATATAAATGTCTCACACAAGATCTGTTTTGTTTTGGTTTAGTTTTCCCATGCAGTGTTTCTCTCTAACATTCCTGGCTGTCCAGGAACTTGCTTTGTAGACCAGGAAGCGTTGACTTCAACAGAAGTAGAAGTTTCAGGGAAAATTAAGAGTGTGAATCAGCAGAGCTTTAAGTGTGTGGATGATTACTAAGTTCTCACAGCAGCAGTTACCTCAGTGTCAGGGAGCTGATCTGCATTTGCAAGGCATTCCTCTAAGAAGGAAGACACAGCGCCTTAACAGATATCACCATTTTACTCAGAGCCTTTTGAGAGCTGGCCTGGAGAACTGTCCATCTGTTTAATTCTACCACACAGGTATAGCAAAAGGAATACCTATTGATTAGGTGAAAAGTATTGTCTCAAATCTTTTAATACGAAAATACTCCATTAGTAATAAGCTAGTGTTACTAGTGTACTTGTGGTCAGTAGCCAAAGTTTAGTAATTGGGGGCAGTTTATGAGAATTAAGAAGGTTGCTGTGGAGAAACCTCTATAACTGTACCATATTTATATCAGGAAAAAACGTTCAATGTGTGAATGCAATATGGAAACCTTCTATTTGTCCTTTCTTTTTATGATATATTATGTGGCACTCTGAAAATATTAATGTATGTATAAATGATATGGAAAGAAGTAATGTACCTCTCTGCCTCCCAGAATAATTAGGAGTAGTAGTTGTCCTCACTTTGACTACCCTTTCTGATTGTAATATAAGTTTAGAATTAATTGTTTTTCAAACATCACTAGAAATACGTCAGCAAATTCACACCAAGAGAAAGCCCTTTAAGTACCAAGAATGTATAAATTCTTCTGTTTCTCTCGGTTCCCTTTGCAAATGTAGTGACTCATAGTATAGGGAAATGTTAAGAATGTAATCGGTGTGGTCAACCTAGAGTTCTTCCTGTTCTTCTCAGCTATATGAAAAGACTCGTGAACAGTGATGCTATCACATAGGCTGTGTACACAAAAGAGTCCATAGTGGTGCGGAAACCTATGAATGGAAACAACATGTGACTCCTCTTTGCCATTAGACCAAACTGTAACATTAAGTCATACAGATAAAAGCATTCATCAGAGTAATGGACTTGTTATAGCATTTACTTGTGTCAATTATCTTCATAGGCATGAAAGAAATCATACGGGAAAGAAAACCTATGAATGTGACCACTGTGGGAAAGCCTTCTCAAACCACGGTCATCTCCAAATACATAGAAGAACTCATACTGGAGAGAAACCTTATGAATGTAATGAATGCGGGAAAACCTTTGCACGTTACAGTTATGTTCAAAGACATAAAAGTATTCACACTGGAGAGAAACCCTATGAATGCAATCAATGTGGTAAAGCCTTCTCACAAAAGAAAAACCTCCAAATACATAAAAAAAAACTCATACTGGAGAAAAACCCTATGAATGTAATCAATGCGGGGAAGCCTTTTTACGATATGGTGGTCTCCAAATACATAAAAGAACTCATACTGGAGAGAAACCTTACGAATGTAGTCACTGTAGGAAAATCTTTTCATACCACAGTAGTCTCCAACTGCATAAAAGAACCCATACTGGAGAGAAACCCTATGAGTGCAATCAGTGTGGGAAAGCCTTTGCACGTTACAGTCATGTTCAAATACATAAAAGAATTCATACTGGAGAGAAGCCTTATGAATGCAGTGAATGTGGTAAAGCCTTTGCGTGTCACAGTAATCTCCAGATACATAGAAGAGCCCATACTGGAGAGAAATCCTATGAGTGTATGCAGTGTGGTAAAGCATTTTCACAGCACAGTCATCTACAAGTTCATAAAACAACTCATACTGGAGTGAAACCTCACGTGTGTAATCAATGTGGGAAAGCTTTTGCACGTCTTGCTAATCTTCAAAGGCATAAAATAACTCATACTGGAGTAAAACACTATGAATGTATTCAATGTGAGAAATCCTGTCATAATGAATCTTCTCCAGGTTCATAAAAAATAAAACCACTTTTCCAGGAGAGAAACCTTTTGAATGTAATCAGTGTTGTATAGCCTTTACATGCTATAGTTATCTTTAAAGGCATGCAAGAATTCATAGTGGAGAGTCACCCTATGGATTTTATCACTATTATGAAGTCTTTGCATTTCACCCTGGTCTTTAAATCCATGAAAGAGTTCATCCAAGAGTAAAAGTTGTAATGTATAATGAATTCGTTAAATCTTTCCTATATTACAGTAGTCTTAGAAGACATGAAAGAACTGAGACTATAGGGGAATCCATGAGTATAAAGGATTTGGTAAGATCTTTAGTCAATGAACTTATATTTAGTTATACAAGATTGTTGTGGAGAAAAATCAGACAAGTGTCAACATTCTATTCAAGTATTGTGATAGCCATCTTTGTTGCATTTATAACCTCGTGGACAAAGCCCTGCAGATTTGTTTAGTAGGGAAAACCTTTTAGATATCATGCTTCTCTTCAATTACATGAAGTAAAACTTTATGGATGAGTACTAGTGTTTTTTTTTTTCCTTCCTGTGATAAATCACAGTGTCTAAGGCTACTTGTAAAAGAACTTAATTTGCCTTATGGTTCCAGAGTGAATCACGATCATCCCAAGAGAGACAAAGCAACAAGCGTTAGATATGACAGCTAAAGCAGGAAGCTCAGAGCTCACATTCTCAAACCGAAGCATGGAACAGAGAGTGGGAACTGATATGGTGTCAGGATTGAAAATCTCAAAGCCTATCATGAGAGTTCCTCTATGGGGTGGCATTCTCTAAACTTTTCCAAATGATTCCAACAAGTATTGATTCACTGATTTGGAAGCCAATGTGCTTCATTTTTGTTCTGAGAAGGAATTTATGATAAAGAAAAATTCTGTAGGTAAGTCTTTAGATGCCTCAACATCTGGGTTATAGGAATGAATGTTTATCCAAGAAAAATAGTCATGAGGGAAAATGTTTAATGATTCATTTTACTTTTTATTTTGCTACATCAGTGTGTTTTTTGATATATGCATGTGCTTGATGGTCCTCAAGAAGGGTAGACCCTGTAGTCCTCCTGGATTTCTAGCAGGAATTACAAGAAGTTGTCAAAACCTTAACCCTCTGAATGTTTAAAAACTTTATATATCACCTTGATATTAGGTAATAGGGAAGAACTCAGACACAAGAAAAGCCTTGTTCAAGCAAACAATATAGTAAAGACCTTAGACACCCAGGCCAGCTTCAATGATCCTGGCTGAGATGGTCCAGCCTCAGACTATTCTAACCAAGACTGCAGACAAACCTTATGCTTTCCCATTGCTCGGCAGCTGAACAACAAATGTTATGGCCAACTCGCAATTTCCTCAGGGTCCCCTAAAGATGACAGCACCTCCTGGCAACACGAAGCTGTCTAGAAAAAAAAAAAACAATGCCCACGTTTCCAAGAGATAGGGTTGGTGGTTTTTGGTCATTCAGCGGGTTATGAATGTTTGTCATCATTTGGGGATGTTGGTTGCAAATTGTCATTGAGCATGGTAAAGAAAGAAGCTAATCAAGGGAGGCTAGAGTCAAGGATCTCTTTTGGGAAAGAAAACGGGACATAGGAATCATAAGATGAAAAGGTAGATTGTTGAATTTACTTTAAAATAATAAACAGCTATTAATTTCAAATATTTTATATTGGTATGGATTTTTGACTTGGAAAGAACAAGTATAGGACCAAACTATACATGTGGCTGACAGTTGTATGGCTGGGGCAGACTGAGGAGACACTGGCAGTGACACTGGGATTTATCTCTATTGCATGTACTGGCTTTTTGGGATCCTATTCTCTTTGGATGTATATCTTGCTCAGCCCACATGTAGTAGAGAGGGCCTTGGACTTTCCACAAAGCAAAGTGCCTTACTCTCTCTTAGGATTAAAGGGGGGTGGGGTGGAAGAGTGTGTAAAGGGAATGGGAAGAGGGGAGGAAGTGGGAATTTGGATTGGTATTAAACAGTTTGTTCCTACAGAAAAACAAATATAAAGTTATTCTTGTTATACTATATATATATATATGTTTCTATAAGACATACTTATGCACCTCATTTAGCAATGTAATATAAATTTCTAGTCTTTAAAATCTATTTAGGATAATAAAGGAATACAAGTTAGTAGTTAGTCATCTATAACAATCAGAATTAGTCATGTTGGGTATGATTTCAAGGTCAAACAGATATATTTTAAATATATTGTCTTCAAAAATTTCAAAGACCTACAGAATATGTCATTTAAAATGTTTCAATAACATAAGGCTTTTCATGACAGTGAGATCCATCTGCTCCTGGCAACATGATTTTCATCAAAGAAGAGATGATACACATCAAAGAACCTCCATATGGAATTTGCTTTTTTTTTTTTGTGGCAAAAAGTTAGCCACAGTGAAAAGAAACTCCCTTCCTTTGACTGCTGACAGTGTGCTGTCCAAGTTGAACAAACAGGATACAAAAGAAGACAGCTGGCAAACTTTGCCAAGACAAGGTGGGACAGTCTTGTAAAATTCCTGGTTCACAGAAAAGTCTGTCAGAATTCGAGGCCTGTATGCTGAAGATGAATGTTCCAAAACTGAGGACAAACTTGGGTGGCTGTCCAGGCAGCCGACTGTTTCTGTTATTTCTAGGAGTTTTGAAAGGCTCTGTACTTGCTGTTTACTCAACTTTAATGGGAAAACCAGACTCACGAAACCAAGGTTCCCGCGGAGCACAGGAAACAGGAACGGAATCGCAGGTTTCTGCACGCGCAATTTATCAGTAAACATTCTCCAGAGGCGAGTCCGCCCCCTTAGGGGTGGGCCTAACCCTACATCTCCCCCTTTTGTCTAAATAAGACAGAACTAAACCAACTACAACTATAAACAATAATAACAAATAATATATATAACAAACACTATAGAGAACAAAAGTTTTGCTAAACATCCTATCTCAAGGAGTCTAAATAATGTAGAGAATATAATTCTTAATACCTATCTAACTTGAAGACTAAGAGAATAAACAACTGTGTAATATATGAAGACAATGATCTTCACCTGTAAACAATGTCATTACATATCAAATGTAAACAATGTTATTACATAAATAGTATCAGAGGTAGAAATGTACATTGTGATATGGTAGATGTATCAATACAATATAAGCATACTCTTATACAAAAATAGAGGTAGGAACACACATCCAATATTCAATATGTCAATATACAGGAACAGTACCAATACAATTTTCTAAAAACAGTAGCTCACAAATACCAATCATCCCATCAAACCAGTTAATCCCCCCCCTTTTTTTGACCATACCCCTAATTCCATAAAACATCTCCCTATCCCCTCAATCCCAAACCAACCACTAAAAGATGTCCCTAACCCTGAGGGCAAACTCTGTTGGGAGAGGGGACATTGTCCTCTAAGATTGCTTCAAGCTGACTTGGGGGCGATGTTCTCCTTAGGGGCTCCTGTTAAAGCAAATGATGGTAAAATTCCCAAATTAACCTTTGACCTAAGAAAATTATAACTAGTCCCTGAGCACTTTGAGAAGGTCCAGCCAGAGTGTTGTCAAAAATGTGCATCATTTGAAATTGTCTCGTGCAGTTGGTACCAAAAAACAGGTCTCATATTAGTGCGTAAAAAAGAAAAAAAATATGACGTCATAAAAACCAGGTTGAGTTGATGTTGTGGGGCCCCATCTTCATCCTGGAAACTTCAAAAATTACTGTAGGGAAATTTGTTGCTTGTTATGGGAAATTTAAACATTAACAACAAGGACATATTCTGACATATAAAGAAAGACACAGATATGAGGAAAAGCAAAGAAAGTTTATCAAGTATATAATTATCCTCATTCTGTCCCATTTCATGGCTCCTGATCTGAGACAGAAACTCTGAGATATCTCTTATCAACAGGCTTGGAATTGAAGAGGGACTGAGCCATAGTCCAACTCCAAAACCAGCTCTACATATTTATAAAGAAGCGTTCAAAGAGAAAAAAGAAAATATATATATAATCAATACTTACTCATGTTACTGTTGAGTCTTAGTGGGTCGTAACTATTTTCCATCCATCAGTTATTAAATATTCAGGGTCCCTTAAATTCTTTGAAGATCAGTATTTTCCTGTGGAGATAAAAAAAAAAAAAAACCCTGCCCCCAACCTACCTGAATTCCTTACCATCAGTATGCTCGCCATCCTTGTGAATGAATTGTTATTTATCTTTTCCAAATGGCTTTTCTTCTTCATACCGAACCTTTATTAATTTTGACGGTATCCACAATTGTTCCTCACCTGTGGAGATAAGAGCAAAACCCCTTCCCCAACGCAGCACATCTCCTGGCTTCCATTGTGAGGTCAGCACATCCTTGAAATAAACTGGTTGATTTAGTTCAGTAGACTTTTCCATTATCCAATGTCTTTCTGCAGCCGTTGTCCCCTTCTCATTAGCGTTAAGAAAATTCAAGGTTAACAAAGCATTATGTAACCTATTTCTGGGGGTGTTTTCCACCCCTTTCTGTTTATTCAACATATCCTTTATAGTTCGATTTGATCTTTCTATGACTGCTTGACCTGTAGGATTGTATGGTATACCTGTAACATGCTTGATATTGTAATAGTCAAAAAACCGTTTCATTTTCCTAGAGGCATAAGCAGGACCATTATCTGTCTTTATTTGTGTAGGTATACCCATGATAGCCATGACTTCTAATAAATGAGTGATTACTGAATCAGCTTTTTCTGAACTTAAAGCAGTTGCCCACTGAAAGCCTGAATAAGTGTCAATGGTGTGGTGAACATACTTCAATTTGCCAAATTCTGCAAAGTGAAACACATCCATCTGCCAGATTTCATTCCTTTGGGTGCCCTTTGGATTAGCCCCTGCAGGCAGTGGCGTTTGGTTATAGAAAGAGCAAGTAGGGCATTTCTTTACAATCTCCTTAGCTTGTTGCCATGTGATAGAAAACTCTTTCTTCAAACCTTTGCTATTAACATGATGTTTTTTATGAAATTCAGAGGCTTGTAGCACACTACCAATCAATAATTGATCAATTTCTGCATTACCTTGTGCTAGAGGACCTGGCAGACCCGTATGGGATCGGATGTGTGTTATGTACATAGGGCAAAGCCTGTTCCTGATCAAATCTTGAACCTGGATAAACAATGAGGTTAGTTCTGTATCATCAGGTATAAATTCAGCAGTTTCAATATGTAAAATAACTCTTTCTGCGTATTGTGAATCAGTAACTATATTAATAGGTTCTCTAAAATCCCTTAGCACCATAAGAATGGCATATAATTCTGCCTTCTGGACAGAATCATAAGGACTTTGTTCCACCTTACCCAAGTCTTCCGATTTGTAACCTGCCTTCCCTGTTTTATTGGCATCAGTATAGAATGTACGGGCTCCAGTTATTGGAGCATCACGGACGATTCGAGGAAGGATCCAAGAAGTTCTCTTTATGAAGTTAAGCCTCTTGCTTTTTGGATAGTTGTTATTAATGTCTCCCAAAAAATTAGCACAAGCTCTTTGCCATGTTTCATTATCTTCCCATAATTTCTTTAGTTCATCAGCAGTGAAAGGCACTATAATTTCTGCTGGGTCTATGCCTGCTAGTTGACGAAGTCTCAGCTTGCCTTTTATAATTAACTCAGAGACTTTTTCCACATAAGTTTTCAGTTTTTTACTTGGTTTATGTGGTAAAAAGATCCATTCCAAGATAATATCATCTCTCTGCATTAAAATTCCTGTAGGAGAAATTTTGGATGGTAATATGACGAGAATACAATCGAGCTCTGGATTCACCCTGTCCACATGTGCCTGTTGTAATTTTTCCTCAATTATTGTCAGTTCCTTTTCTGCTTCAGCTGTTAATTCTCTGGGACTGTTTAAGTCTTTATCACCTTCCAAGGTTTTGTTCAAATGAATTATTAGATCAGGTGTTATCCCAACAGCTGGTCGTAGACTGGAAATGTCTCCTAACAGTCTTTGAAAGTCATTAAGAGTCTGTAGGCGATCTCTCCTAATTTGTGCCTTTTGTGTCTTAATTTTTTGCAAACCTATTTTATAACCTAAATAATTAACAGAATCTCCCTTCTGTATCTTCTCAGGAGCAATTTGCAATCCCCATTTAGGTAAAAGTATCTTTATTTCTTCAAACAGTCTGTTCAAGGTATCCATGTTTGAATCGGATAACAAGATGTCGTCCATGTAGTGGTATATTATAGATTTGGGAAATTTCTTGCGTATTATTTGCAATGGTTGGTTCACAAAATATTGGCACAAGGAGGGGCTATTTAACATACCCTGGGGGAGGACGGCCCAGTGGTACCTCTTGGAAGGTTGAGAATTGTTGTAAGTAGGCACCGTGAAGGCAAATTTTTCTCTATCTTCTTTTTGTAAAGGTATGGTGAAAAAACAATCCTTTAAATCAATAACTATAAGAGGCCATCCTTTTGGTAATAAAGAGGGCAAAGGGATTCCAGATTGCAGAGGACCCATAGGTTGAATAACCTTGTTGATAGCTCTGAGATCTGTCACCATTCTCCATTTACCTGATTTTTTCTTAACCACAAATACAGGAGAATTCCAAGGGCTGGTAGATTCTTCTATATGTCCAGCATCTAATTGCTCTTGTACCAGCTGTTCTAAAGCCTGTA